ACTCGACTACCTCCGTTACCNGGGTTTCACCGTTCGTACGTTACCCACTACGTACTATATTATATATATATAATATATATATATATATCATTATTTTGAGCTCGATTTGATAAAGATTAGCACAATTGAATAAAATTATTTACATTGTTTTCTTTAATTCTCTCCCACTCTCTTGCTTCACATTTTAGCTGTATAAGTCCAACACATGACATATTTTAGATTAGTGTTTTAAGACTGGGTGCCAGTTATCTAGCAATTGGAAATCTGATCAAGCGAATCGCTGATCCCGATTTGTGAATCAGACTGATTATCCAATGTGAAAATCAATCCAAAACAAGAAAAAAGGTGAAAAAATAGAATAATAATAAAAAATATAATATGTGTAAAACAAGTCTAGATCACATGGTTCCCAGATAGAATCACCCAATTCCTTGATGGAAGTGGGGTACTCCAAGGGAACCAGATTGATTCCCAATTCCAACAAAAAACTCGATCAATCTATAATGATTTCCAATTCCAACAGAGAACTGAGTCGATCTATACCAATTCCTAATCCGCATCATTGGTTTTTAGACATTGTTTTATATTGAATTTTGATATCGTAGAATAATTATTTTTCTGACGTGTCTGAAATTTTCGAAGTTGCTATTAATATCTTCCTTTTTAAAAATTCATATCCATCAAATATTTTATATATTATTTTGCTCTAGAATCATGATTATTTAATATTACCTTTCTACCCAAATTTCCTAAAATAAGTTCTCAAGAAGAAAAAATGATGCAATTTGTATGTAAATATTTGCACTTTGTTTGCCTTGGACATGCAATTGACATTATCTCCACTTTGCAAAAACACCGCATCATTACCAATTTCGCAATAAAAAATGGTGTTTCAGGCTGTTAGTATTCTTGTGTATAGTAAATACTGTATGGTGAATACTGGCCAATTCGATGGAGGACATCAAGAATCTTGGATATTAGAAAGTTTTAAAAATCTATCGATTTTCAATATCAAAAGTCACTTTAATACATTCCTAGTGTTAGATTTAGTGAAGATGTAGAGCTTAAGAACAATTTAGAGAGAGAAACTATCTTGATCAATTCTCATTAACAAGGAATGAAACCCTAAAATGGCTTATATACAAATACAAATTTAGTGTAGGCCACATTCTCCCTACACAAATATAAAATGATAATATAGGACAATTGAAAATTATACATTTTATTTTATATACATATTATTAGCCCCCTTCAAACTGATGTGGATATGAGTAAAACATTAGCTTGTCCACTAGAAAATCATGGCGGCTCCGAGTAATAGATTTGGTGAAAATATCAGCCACCTGCGAAGTAGAAGAAACGCAAGGGAGAGATAATATACCATCAAGATAACGATCACAAATATAATGACAATCGACGTTACTTTTTTCGCTCATGAAAAACTAGATTAATTCCACTTTGGTTATTGCATATAAATGTGTGGGATTTGAAATACAGATACCAAATTCATTAAAAAGAGCACAAACCCAAACAATCTCATTAGCAACAGAAGATATAGTACGATACTTAGCTTCAATGCTTGACTTGGAAACTGTTTCTTGTTTTTTTCTCTTCCATGATATTAATGAGGACCCAAGAAACACACAATATCCTATAGTAAAATGGCAAGTATCTGGATCACCAGCCTAATCTGCATCGACATCTGCACTAAGATCTAAAGAGGATGTGGAGTCAAAGAATAATCCACGAATGGAAGTACCTCGAACATAGTATAAAATTCGATGAACTGTTGATAGATGTGGTTGTCGAGGATCTGAAACAAATTAGCTCACAATATGGACAACATATGCAATATCTGGATGAATCATAGTGAGATAGCTGAGGGAGCTGACAAGTTTGCGATACATCATATGCTCAAGAAGAGGATCGCCAACATGTGCAGAAAGTTTAACATTGAGTTCCATAGGTGTATCAACAACCTTTACATCATTCAATTAGGCACTGGAAACAAGATCAAGTGCATACTTCTATTGACGGATGTAAATAACACGTTTAGAGTGAGAGATCTCAAAGCCAAGAAAATAAGATACTCCTCCAAGATCATTCATTTGAAATTCTTCTTGCAATCGTAGCTTTACATCCTTAATGGAAGTGAAATCATTGCCAAAGATAAGAATATCATCAACATATAATAGAATATTACAAATTCTTTGCTTTGTGGTACGAATAAACATGTAGTGATCATGTTTACTTTGAGTGAAGCCAGTTGCAAGAATGACAGCCTGAAAACGCTCAAACCACGCATGGGGAGCTTGTTTGAGACTGTAAATTACTTCACGAAGTCGGCAAACCAATGATTTATCTTGAGAAACAAACCTAATTGGTTGACACATGTAAACTTCCTCTTGAAGTTTGCCATAAGGAATGTATTTTTGACATCCATCCATCTGCCATACGGGCCACTCACGAATAGATGTGAGTGCAAAATAAAAGTACGAATAGTTGTCATTTTAGCAACTGGAGCAAAAGTTTCTTCATAATCGATGCCATGCTCCTAGGCAAAACCTTGAGCAACTAATCGAGTCTTGTGCCGATCAAGAGTGCTATCAGCTCGTAACTTGACTTTATAAACCCATTTATTACCAATGACATACTTTTCTGGAGGCAATATGACCAAATCCCAAGTGTGATTTGCCTCTAAAGCAGCAATTTCCTCATTCATAGCTATACGTCAGCATTGGAGGTTAGATGCCTGAGAACAAGAAGATGACTCATGAAACAATAGATTAGTAATGGTTGCAGGAGAACAAGTATGGTATGGGCTAACCACTGGTAAGTTAAGATGATCAAGTGGAGTGGGCTTTCGAAGTGACCGTCGAAGGTGAATAGGACCGGTAGAATGATCAACAACTGGAGGTGATACAAGACCAGCAGTTGACAAAGACACTCATCAAAGTTAGTTATTGAATGTGGTAATCCTTTATTTTCATGATAATGAGAAGGAGGAATATCGAAAATAGGAAAAAAAGAAAACTCAGGTCCACGTGTGTTTGAATTAGGGTGTGGGCAGTGTTGGTAGAAGGGTATATGCTTGAAAAATGTAACATGATGGGATATTCTAATACGGTTAATAGAAGGATCAAAACAATGATATCCTTTTTAATTTGTTGGATAACCTACAAACATGCATTTGACAGACTTAGGTGAAAGTTTATTACGGGTAGAAGATGGAAAAAACACAAAACATATGCATCCAAACACACGTAAATATGAGTAATCAGGAATTTTTTGAAAAAAGCTTTTGAAATGGTGACATATTTTGCAAAATCGGTGTAGGAAGAAGATTAACAAGATAGACAACAGTAGACATCGCTTCAACCCAAATGTTCTTTGGGGAATGAGAGCTAATAAGAAGAGAACGAGTGATTTCAAGAATATAGCGATGTTTTCTTTCAATAACTCCATTCTGTTCCTGGGTATGAGGACCTAAACGTTGATGAATAATGTCATTTGTACGAAGATATGCTTGAAATTCATTAGATAGATACTCCCACCACCCCCCCCCCTCTCTAGAATCAAACTTAAAAACTTTAATGTTTTTCTCAAATTGAATTTTTATCATATTATAGAAGTCTTTAAAAACACCAAACATACTTGACTTGTGTTTGAGAAAATAAATCCTAGTATATTTAAAAAAATCATTGATAAATATCACGTAATAAGAAAATTCATTAGTTGACGGAACAAGAGCAGGGCCCCAAACATTAGAGTGCACTAAAGAGAAATGATGGATACTTTTATTATTACTATGAGGAAAAGGTTGAGCCAAATGTTTTGCCAACTTGCAACTCTCACAACAATATTCTTATCATATTTTTTATGAGAGAAGACAACAGGTAAAATCCCAGAGTTTAAAAGAGAAAGCATTTTTTGAGAATGTGGGTGGCCTAACGTGCAATGCCAAACATACCGAAGAGAATTTGAATGACTTATTTCATGAGGAGAAGGGGAAAGATGACAAACCGACAGTACTTGTGAAAAATGAGAAGGAGCTTCACTGAAACTAATTGTGAAAAGCCGACCCTGCGTAGTGCTTCTCCCATTCACTTTCCCTATTGCTAGATCCTGCACCACACAACCTTTACTAGAAAAAGAAACAAGGCACTAGTTATCAACTAACTGACCAACAGATATTAAATTCAAAGGAATGTTGGGAATGTGATGATCAACTTTTAATGCTAAGAATGTACCAGATGAACCAAGGACACTGGTATTACTTGAGTGGGTAACATGAAGTGGAGACCCATTAGCAGTAAAATAAGTCATATTTTCAGAATAGGGTTTACCGAGGATAGATGCGAAAGTTGTCATGTCAAATTATTTGATGCTCCTGAGTCTATAATCCAAGTGTTTGATAAAGAATTTGAGTTACCTGAAAAACCCATGACGGCTAAAACTTGAGCAAGTTGTTAGAGTGCAGTTGAATCAATAGAGTGGAGATCGGGCATGGACACATGGGTAACCGATGTGGAGGCATAATGAGAGAGACTGAAAGTGATATTCTCCATGCTAGTGGGACTAAGAATGGAGGCAATTGCAGCCCATTGAGTCGAACTAGGTATAGGAGGCTTCCCATGTCCCTGAAGGCGTTTCGACAATCATTTATTACATACCCGAACTTCTTACAATAATTGCAAAAAATGTGCTTCTTGCACCGATTAACTGTGTGGCCTCTTTGTTTGCATATGTAACACCGTACTTGGACATAATTGGTATTTTTATTAGGGTAATTGGACGTGGCTAAGGTTACATCAGTGATATCTTGTGATATGGATTTTGTAAACCCCAAGAGAGCTTAAGCAAGTTTCTTCAGCAAGAAGATCTGAGAGGCAATCATCTAATGGTGGAGTGGGAGTACGATGAAGGACGGATGCTCTCATGCTTCCAAACTCCGATCGCAACCCCAGTGAAATAAACGAGACCAATTTCGTGCTTTAGTAACAGCTTCAGTGAGTGCCTCTGTCTCCATCGAGTCCATCTTATTTTACATACCTGAAAGAGTATTAAAATAATCTTCAATTGATGAGTCCCCTTGTTGTGTCTTTATGCTCTACTGATCAACGGTATACATACGGGCAATGTTTGCTTGAGAATAAATCTATTTTAAATAATCCCACATTGCTTTGGCACTAGATTGATACGTAAGGTTGCGCCCAATTGTAGGCTCAACTGAGTTCATAATCCATGTCATAATAGAGCTATCTATGACAAGCCAATCATTATGCCTATTTTCATCCTTAGGCTGGGGAACAAAACCATCAAGATAGCCCCATAACTTCAATCCTATGAGAAAACGCCTAATTTTAAAAGACCACAAGTAGTAGTTCTTCCCATCAAGACGCATAAAAAAAGTAGCACACTGTATATTACTTTTGCACTCCATAGATGATTCTTGTTTTTTTTTTTGGAATTAAAGTTTCTCTTTAGAAAAATTAGCAACGGAAAAACGATCAACAGGAGGAAGCAAAGGGAATAAATTTGAGATACTACAAGACAAAAAAAATTTGCTTTGACCATATCTTTTCTAGAGAGAGAAATTGATAAGTTCAATGGAAGACTGTTGTTGTGGAAGAGCACAACAAGGAAAAAAAAAAAAAAAAAGTAAAAAAATAATTGTATGCACATCTAGGGTTGCAAAGAGATTTTACAAAGCAAATTTTGCAAGCATCAACTGTTAAAGAGATTTACCAAGCAAATCTTTGCAGCAGAGATATGCAAGGGAAAAGGCGCACACATAAGGGAAAGGAACCAAGAGATGTCAAGAATAGGAGAGATGCTCTGACATGTGAATAAAACAACTTTCTCTCTCTAGTTTGCAAGGAAGAATGAAGAATGAAGTTTGCACAACTTTCTCTCTCTAGGTGTCAAGAATAGGAGATGAATTGGACAATGAAGTTTGCAAGGAATTTTGTATATGAGAGGGCTGTAAATTAGTAGCGAAGAGTTTATGCAATTATATGCAACGAAGGGTTTCAACTATGCAAATTAGCAGCGAAGGGTTTATGCAATGATATGCAACGTAGGGTTTCAAATGTGCAGATGCACCGAAAGAGTTACAAATTTACAACGAAAATTTGCATATGAAAATTTGAGAGATCAAAATTTATCTGATTACTAACCTTCACAAAAAGAGCATTCTGCGAGCAGCAACAGAGAAGAGATGATTGGATCTTTGATGCTCTGATACCATGTTAGATTTAGAGAAGATGTAGAGCTCAAGAACAATTTAGAGAGAGAAACTATATTGATAAATTCTCATTAACAAGGAATGAAACCCTATTATATACAAATATAAATTTAGTGTAGACCACATTATCCCTACACAACTATACAATGACAATAAAAGATAACTGAAAATTGCATATTTTATTTTTATATACACATTATTACATATAATCTCTCATTTGGTAATCAAATAGTTTTTTATGGATTTTTCAAGTTGTGCTATTTTTTTGGGGAAAATTGTGAACTAAATCATTGTTTAGTAATTCCAAAAGGATGATTGTTAAGTAAAATATATTATTACACAAATTACATTGGCATACTATCACAATTATTTAATACTACATGACATTTTTTATAAGTAAATGTACATAAAAACACCTTTTATTTTTTACGAAATATATAATGAGACTATTCACCTTTGGTACAAGGCTGTCTCTGCACAGCTAAATTGCAAAATTCTATTTAATTTTTAAATCTTGGTTATAAGTAATTGTGATCTCAGAATTGCTAATATCATCACATTGATTTTGCACAGCTAAATCGTCGAATTTTGTTTAATTTGTAAATCTTGGTTATAGCAATTGCGATCTCCTTATACTGAAGATAAATGGTCATATTAGATATAATTTCTTCATATTATGTAGAATACTTTGGGACTTTTTTTTTAGAGTTAACTTGGGACTTTTTATGAAGAAAAAATGTTTCAAGAGGGATGGACGGCATTTCTATAATATACGGTCGAGAGGTATAAAGCATCCTTCTTAAAGATCGATGCAAATAAATGGTCCATCTATAAACCATTATAATTAACGGTCCAAATGTTTTTAAAATATAATTATTATTTATAGTTTTCAAATATATATATATTTTTTTATATTCATGATTTCCATGTTAAAGATTATATATTCTCTAAAAATTAGGATCAAATTATATTTAAAAAATATATTTATGGCCAAGCCTGCATTTCTACAATACGCGAGCTGACAGCATAGAATGGGAAAATTGTTTCAAGTGGGCCGGACTGCATTTCTACAATATGTGGTCCAGAGGTATAAAGCATCCATCTTAAAGATGGATGCAAATAGGTGGCCCATCTAAAAACAAGTGTAACTAAAGGTCCAAATGTTTTTTTAATATATTAAATCCTCTTCTTGTCTATGTAAGTCGTTCCATTTCATATTTTTCGTGTCTATTCAAAATAAATACATAATAATAAAAAAAAAGAAGAAGGCAATTGGTTGACATTTTTGTCATATTATTATCTAATGGAAAATTATTTTGTGAAGGTTTGACTGCATTTCTTCATATGCGGTCCAAAAAATGTAAAGCATCCATTTTAAAGATGGATGCAACTAGGTGTTCCATCTAAAAACAAGGGAAATCAATAGTCCAAATGTTTTTTTACTAGAAATATTATTTCTAGTTTTTTAAAATTTATTTATTTTTCATATTCATGACCTCCATGTTAGAGATTACATGTCCTTAAAAATTAAGCATTAGCATTATTATTTCTAGTTTTTAAAATTTATTTATTTTTAATATTCATGATCTCATTACATATCCTTAAAAATTAAGTATTACAATCCGTTTAAAAAATAGATTTATTGAGAGGCCGGCATTTCTACATATGCGAACTTGGCCGCATAGAAACCGGGTCATTAATACTTCTTGCCATTTAGTTCTAGCGATCTAGGCATAGTGGTGACTCAGCTGTTCGAAAATTGTTCCCAAGAAACCAACCTGCGACAACAAATGTTCAATATCAAATAATCTCTTCTCCGAATTTTCACCATTTTCCTTGTTTTGGGCAAAAACCATGCCAGAAGGTCCCCTTATTTAAGGCCGCGCCACCAATTTGGTCAAGCAACATTTCCGCCGCAGATCAGACCAGAACAGGTAACACCTCAAAACCTCTCTCTCTCTATAAATATATCTCTGTAAGTATGATTCTTTCTAGACTCTTATGGAATCCCCTTTTGTGGGCATATAAAGACATTATTACATTTCTCTGAGTTTATCTGGAAGTGGATTTCCTTTTACTAGTTTTATAATTATTCTTAAGTGCATGTCTAGTTGAGTGTCACAGGGTTCCCAATTTCCAGAAGTAATTTTTTTTTTTTTTTTTTGGGGTGATACAATTTTGATTGTTCACTGGCTGATCTTCGTGGTCAACTGGAGAAACATTTAAAGCGTATGGTGCTGATTGGGAAATTGAAATTTCTTCAATTAGATCAGATTTGATACACTTTAGAAGATCACTTATATCCAATGTCTCTGAGATTTCGCTTTATATAATGTTTTTATAATTTTGTTTATTTTCTAACCATTTCTCAAACTCCAAATCCAACTATTTGAGATCAAGAGCTCTAAATAAGTAGGTCATGGCAGTGGTTTATCCTAAATGGCTGTGTGAAACTTGGATATGTGTTATATATTTTTCTTTCTAGAGCTTCAGCAAGTTATAGATGAACACTTTATGGGTTTTCAGAACTCTACCATTCTATCCTGATCAATGAATATGGACTAATCACAAGCAATATTCATCCATATATAATGGGGATTTGATTCCACAGATTATCTCGTAATACATGGGTTCCTCTAGGTTCAACTTGGCTAAGTCTGGCTTGGTCTAAAGCAGTGTAGGATTGCACAATCTGGCTGCCGATCCCGGCCATGAGCCAGGTCCAGGTTACTTGGAACCGGTCCAGGTAATCGGCATGAGTTGGGCAGGTACCAGATTGGCAAAAAAGTGTTAAAAAATAAAAAAAAAAATCAAAAAATATGTTTAAATTAAAATTAAGTAAAACACTTCTATATGAGGTTCAAAAAGTAGTGAAGAAATAGATTCCGAAAAATCAATTTGTCACCAAGGGTATTTTAAAAATAGCTAAAAAAAGAAGGGAAAATGTAAAAATAAGTATTCATGGCCAAAATACTTTCCTATCTTTGCCAAAATGATAGAAAACATATAAAAACACATTATGAATAAATTTCTTATTTTTTGGATTTTTTTAACAATTTTTGTGATTTATTTTCAAGCTTGGGACTTGACCACCAAAACCGGGCTTAATCAGACCCACCCATGGGCTGGTTCCAGGTAATCCGGCCACGTCGAACCTTTGTCTAACACTGTTCTAAAGTTTAAAATTTAGATTGGTGTACATTTGCGAAGGAATATGTGTTGCCTGAGACCAAAACCGGGCTTAATCAGACCCACCCATGGGCTGGTTCCAGGTAATCCGGCCACGTCGAACCTTTGTCTAACACTGTTCTAAAGTTTAAAATTTAGATTGGTGTACATTTGGGAAGGAATATGTGTTGCCTGAGAATAAATTAGGCATAAGATGCTTTTCATTTTCTGGAGAGCAATGTTCTCGTTCAAATGAAAGTACCTGAAAGTGGATGTTCACTTTGGTTGCGTATTACTGTGTTTTAGATGATTTCGGTTTATTCTTATATGTTCTACAAACTATAGAAACCAATGTGTGATCTAACTAGGCTCTTAAGTCTTTTTCTGCTAGTTTGTCATTGAAATGCCCCTCTTGTGGCCTATTTTGATGCGCTTTGTAAAATACTTTTAACAAGGATGAACCTCCATTTGATGTGTAGACTATGAATCAGTAGCTTGTCTTTTTATCATCAGTTTGGCATGCACGTTTTTTCGAAACAAGAGCATGTGTAGACACCAGGTGGTACGAAATATTTGGTTGCACTGTCAACGATTTGCTCTATAATGTGTCCTCCATGCAATTTCCTATGCTTGTGAATTTCAAATTAAGAGCTATATAAATAGATTGCCTTGAGTAGGCTTTGAGGGGAAAACCAGATGAGAAGAGCAGAGTGAAAACAACATGAAGAAGATAGAGAACTATGTGAGAACGTTAATATTATTTGCTTTAGGTAAAAATGCCAAAAGTTGAATCATAGTCTTTTCCCAACTATTTGGGGTCGGTTAATGCCAAAAGTTGGATCACGAAAGAAAATGGCACCATGTTGAAAATTCTAAAAAACGTTGGGGAGCATAGGTTTGAAAATGATACATTACCCTAGGTAGGTACTTTTAAAGAATGTCATATTCTTGGATAAGAGTACAAAACAAGTTGTACGGAGAAGCCACTCATTGTTGAGGCTAATTGGTCAGTACAGTGTGAGTCATTAGCAGTGAATTAGTGGCTGCCTTTCTGAAGTCCTTCCCATGGTTGCTCTGAGTACCGTTGGAACAAGAGGAATTGTTTAAAAGGCTGGCTCTACCTTGGACAGGGAATCAACTAACAGTCTCTGTATTTTTCTGGGATCCAACTCTTCCTTGATGTCGCAAAAAGAAATTTGTTATCCATGTGCAGGTTTTGGTGTTAATGTCAAGCTATGGTGCAGATTGACTTGCTTTCTTTTGTTCTCCAAGATTATATACTTAATCTCCCCACTGATGCATTATAACATGAGTATCATCATCTTGAAAACAATCCAGTCTTTTATATTGCTGATGCACATCGAGGTTGGCCATTAATGGAGAAATTACATACCATGTATATCTTCCATATGATTCATTTGTTTCTCGAGCTACCTGGTGATATCCCACAAATATTTTCATTCCAGGCAAGCTTGACTTATTGCATCCATTGTATTGCCAACCAAACTTATCTCGGGAAACCTGCTCAGGATTTATATCTACACTCAAGCTCTGATTATTATTGGAAATTAAATGCTTCAAAGGGTATCGTCATAATATATTGTATAACACCAATTTATGCAATTGTTATTGTGGATGTCCGATAAGATGTATACTTTCCATTTTCTTATTACCATGTTTTGTTCTCAAATTCTTTCTGTCATATAGTATGCATTAAATTTCAGAAAAAATAAAAGCTCCACACTTGACCCACAATGGTGTTATATTTGTGTGTATTGCAGGATTACCTAGAAAAGTGAAACATCAAAAGCTGAGGATAAAATCCTGAGTAAAATTCAACTGGAAGGTACTATTATTTTCCTTCTCTGTTTCATGTTTTGTGTAGATCTACTTACCTTTTTGTTAAATACAAGGGTGAAATGCATAAAGTATATTGAAACTCTTCTCTTGAGACAAATAGGGACCTCCATTCACCTTTAAAAGAAGGGCCTCATCATGCATTTTTTAAGATGGACAGCACTGATAAATAAAAAATAAAAAAAAGAAGGATTAAGGACAGATAAATACTTCCCAGTTGATAAATGCAGCTTATATCTGAATTCTGATTGAAACATCAAAAATAAATATTCAGGGAATGATGGATGACATACGGAAAAGGTTCAGTAAATTTTGGGGTAAAACAAATACTCTGATGATGGTGAAACCAACTCCGCCATTTGATTTCCTCATGCAAATTCCTGAGAAGTTTCAGAATTGTTTAAAGGTGAGCATCTGACCTGTTTCATTTTACTCGCGCTACTGAAGTAGAGGGGAAACTTCTGTTATTTCTTATTGTAGCAGCATTTGGAGCAGTCTCAGAAACATCAGAATATACAAGACAGTGAAACTTCAATGTTTTTAAAGAATCACGGATTTGATTCGGTCATGGATGCCAGTCTAGAGAAGCAACTTCAGGCTTGGAAAGAAAATCCCACTTGGGTTGATCATCCTCCAGAAATAAAGGTCTCTCTCTCTCTCTCTCTCTCTCTCACACACACACACACACACACACACACACACACACACGCACACAGAGACATGATAT